GTTTACGCTATACGGGGGATCTTTATCTTTGTTTCTGCTTACATATTCGCACCTCCGATTGACAGGGTTGGCTACGTACGGTGCGAAAGAATCTCAACATGCATACTTATACATGCGTATGATGAGACAAAGGCGGCCGGGCGTGGTGCTGGCCACCCACCTCCTTGTTATGATGTCCCGGCCCTTGACATGTGCCACTCTCGCTAACAGCACTTGCCCCAACAGTTTGTTAAAGGCTATACCGGGGATCTTCGTCTTTGTCTGCGTCCGTGGGTGAGCGGTCGTGTAACGGTTCGCGCGCTGCGCTATTAAACCGGTAACCCGAGCTCGATTCGAGCTCATGGCCAACATCAGCGATGAAGTGAATATTTGATCTACTCAGCCTTAATTAGTATCTGGTGCGGTGTGTACATGTCTTTGGATGAGCGCTACGCCGCGCTACGAACCTGGAGTCCCCGCTGTTGATTCCCGCTCACGACCAACACCGGTGACGATTAACTGAACCGGTCCCGGGCCTCCTGTCCTAGGTCTACTCAACCTCAAATGAGTACCTGGTGCAATGTGTAAATATCGCCACTGGGCAGAGGCGGCTGGAACGTGGTACTGACCACACCGCCCCGAACGTGCACCGTGCCAGGCACTTTGTATGTGCCCCAGCGGTCTGCTCGAGGCCTTGCGGGGGGTCTCTGTGGCTTTGTCCTGCGTGAATATTTTGTTGCGGGGAGCGGGAGCGCAGTGGTTAGCGCGTTTGCGCGACCAAACCCGAGTTCATTTCCCGGCCACGGATAACATCAGTGGCAGGTGATATCTGAACACATTCACACAAAGACATACTGCGTAATGCACGCACGCGTAAAGACAAAGATCCCCCGTATAGGCTTAACAGGATGTTGGGGCAAGTGCTGTTAGCGAGGGCCTACGAAGACCGGAACGGCACACGAGGGTGTGGGTGCCCAGAACCACGCCCGACCGCCTTTGTCTCCCTCGTGACGATTATTACAAACCGCGCCTGGTTCTCATTTGAGGCTGAGTCGACCGACTGGAGGCCCAAAACCGGTTCAAATAATCATCATTGGTGTTGGCCGTGAGAGGGAATCGAACTCGGGTGGCCGGGCTCGTAGCGTAGCGCGCTAACCGCTGCACCACCATTCCGCACAGAGGCACACAGAGACAAAGATCCCCCGTATAGCCTTAACAGGCTGTTCGGGCACGTGCTCTTAGCGAGCACCTACGAAGGCCGGCACGACACACGAGGGGGTCGGTGGCCAATACCACGCCCGGCCGCCTTTGTCTCCCCAGTGGCGATGTTTACACACCGCACCAGGTACTCATTTGAGGCTGTCGACCGATGGGAGGCCCAGGAAGGGCCGGTTCAAATAATCATCATTGGTGTTGGCCGCTAAACGCTACACCACCGCTCCACACGCACCCAGGCTCGCACTCACACCACACACACACAGACACACACCCAGGTGCGCACTCACACCACACACACACACAGGCGTGCACTCACACCACACACACACAGGCGTGCACTCACACCACACACACACACACAGGCGTGCATTCACACCACACACACACCCCGCTCGACCCTGTGTGAGTGGTGATTCCCTTCGCGCTCGTGACACCGCCTTCTCTCCCTCTCCCTCTCGAGTACAACACGCCGAGTGACAGACAGGCAAACATCTCACAATGCATCGATTTAGTGGTGGTGGTGGTGGTGATTTTTGGTCACACGGACATCAGAGAATAACGACGCGAGGCCTTGAGAAAAGATAAAAATAGATTTATTAATTTTCTGTCTTTTTTTTGTCACAAAAGGCATTCGACTCCTTCTGCCGCGAGACTTTACAGATCGCGAAAGCATCGCGCAGTGCGCGCGCGCACACACACACGGCTACATACACACACACAGGTACATACACACAGATACACACACACGGGTACATACACACATACACACACACGGCTACATACACACATACACACACACAGGTACATACACGCAGATACACACACATAGATACACACACGGGTACATACACACACACGGCTACATATACACACATACACAGATACACACACACACAGGTACATACACACAGATACACACACACAGATACACACACAGGGGTACATACACACATATACACACACGGCTACATACACACATACACACACAGGTACATACACGCAGATACACACACAGAGATACACACACGGGTACATACACACACACACACAGGTACATATACACAGATACACACACACAGATACACACACACGGGTACATACACACACAGGTACATACACACACAGGTACATACACACATACACACAGGTACATACACACACACACGGATGCAAACACATACACACACAGATACACACACAGAGATATACACACACACAGATACACACACACATGGGTACATACACACAGATACACACACAGGTACATACACACACGGGTGCACACACAGATACACACACACAGATACACACACACACGGGTACATACACACAGATGCACACACACATACACAGATACACACAGAGAGATATACACACACACAGATACACACACACACCCGGGTACATACACACAAATACACACACGCGGGTGCATACACACGGGTACATACACACGGGAACGTACACACGGGTACACACACCCGCGGACACACACACAGATACATACACACAGATACACACACACATGGTACATACACACATACACACGGGTACATACACACAGATACACACACGGTAAACACACACAGATACACACACACGGACACTCACACACGGACACTCACACACAGGTACATACACTCACAGGTACAAGATCCCCCATCTCACGAGTGGCGATGCTTACACACCGCAGCAGGAACTCATTTGAGGCTGAGTCGACCCAGGGTAGGTCCAGGGCCGATTCCGATAATCATCACCGGTGTTGGCCGTGAATGGGAATCGCCGGGTTCGTAGTCCAGCGCGCCAACCACTAAACTACACTAGAACCCCCCACACACACACACGCACGCACACAGGCACACACACACAAGTACACAAAGACAAAGATCCCCGGGATAGCCTTAACAGACTGTAGGGGCAAGTGCTGTTAGCGAGCACACACAGGTACACACGCATCGCTACGCACACAAAGGTGCACACGCATAGGTACACACACACGCACACAGGTACACACACACGCACACAGGTGCACACACACAAGTGCGCACAGGTATACACACAAGCACACGCACAGGCACACATTGGAGTAGACACATTGGGATAGACACACCAAAAAGGCATTATCCCCCATATAACATTTTTCAGGGTGTTGGGGCAAGTGCTGTTAGCGAGCAGCACATAAACCATAACACACATTCACGCACACTCGCAACAAACGCACAGGCACACACACTACACACGCACAGGCAAACACCCCACAACACACGTAAGAGGCACACATATGCAAGCACACACACACTCGCACAGCTGCGCACAGGCAAAGAGACGCATACGCACCAGAAGCACAAGCACACACACAAGCAGAGACACTCCACAGGCACACACACAAGCACACACACACATCTATACAGAGATATACACACAGAGATACACGTTCGTACACAAATTATCTACAGAGATATACACACAGAGATACACGTTTGTACACACACATCTATACAGAGATATACACACAGGGATACACATTCGAACACACACACATCTATTCAGATATATACACACAGAGATACACGTTCATACAAGACAAAGACACACACGTACACATATACATAGAGAGAGATACACACAGCCACGCACACATACACACACACCGCAAACCCACGCACACACACCCAACATCACCCAGACACCCAGACACACACCAACACACACACAACACAGCCAGACACACGCAGATCCACGCGCGCACACCACACACGCGCACAGCCCAAAATAGATTATCATCAGCATTTTTATGAGATTTCTTCAGCGTGGCGCGCCGTCTGCTTGTGCATAATCTTTGTAAACATTATAGAGTTAAGGGGGAGGGGGGGGGCAGCGGCGAGGGTTGCGGGGGCGGTCAGGGCAAAAGTGTCATCGTTGGTGGATGTGGTGGGAAGGCGAAGTGGAGCAGAGGCGAGGTGGTTCTCCAGCCCCCTCTCCCCCACTCCCCCCCCACCTCCAACCACCGCCCCCTCCCCTCCTCCCCCCGCATCTCGGCATCTCAATTATCAAGAGGAAGTTTACATCAGCGAGCGAAGCGCGCGCAGAGTCCGTTAAGCGAGCGGGGAGCGGGTGAAGGTGGCCGCGTGGGGAGAGAAGGGGAGTGGGGAATGGGGATACGAGACACGCAGAGAGACGGGTGGGTGGAGGGGGGTGGAGAAGGGGTGGCTGGCGGGGGGGGGAGACACATGGCCCAGTCCCCCCCCCCCCCGTCTCCAGACACGAGGAGCCCGCGTGAGACACCACGGGGGGGCGAACGACAGAGCGAGGCCTCCCCCCCCCCCACCCTTTACACCCACAAAGAGTTCCATCCTCGCGGAAGGCGACGGCTTGGGCGAGCTGACCGGGGTCAGGGGGGAGCTGGCGAGAGCGAGGGAGCTGCGGCGACTCTCTAATGAGCGCCTCGGTCAGCACCCTCCTCCTCCTCCCCCTCCCTCCCGGCGCGCTGGGAATAAAGCGAACAATCATTGAGAGCGCACGCACATCGATTAGCTCCCAGGAGTATCGGTGAGCCTCGGCGGTCATCGACGAGCTTCGGTGAGCTCTGGCGAGCATCGAAGAGAGTCGTCGCTCACTGCGCGTGAACGTCAACCAGCACGTGTCGACGACTCTTCGCGTAAACCACCAAGCCGAGAGAAAGAGAGCGAGCGAGAGAGAGAAAGAGAGAGTTCCATACAGTCATCAATAAATGCACCTCTCATCCGGCCTCTAGAATTACCCTAGCCCCGCACCACCACCACCACGATCCCCTCCCCCATCTCCTCGAGTCAGTCCCACCCGAAGTCGTGTCCCACCATCTGGTAGAACTTGGAGTTGAAGGGGCGGTAAAACTCGCGCAAACTGCGCACGACTGCCGGCTGGATGACCGGGTGCCTGCGACCTTTGCTCTTGCCCAGGCAGTGCGGGAGGCTGCTGCCCTCGGGTTTCTTGAGGCAGGGGAAGCCTTTGGTCTGGTTGAAGTAGAAGTGCTTGTCCGAGATGATGCGCTTGAGCCCCAGGAAGTCCTGCACGCGCGCCAGCTCGCCCGCCGGGTCGAGCACGAGCCGCTCGCCGCTCACGAAGAGCATCTGCTCGAGCGGGAAGTGTCTCCGCCACGCCTCGAGGTGCTTCGCGTAGAGGCCGATGCGCACGGCGCTCCACGACGAATCGACGCCGCCGCCGCCGCCGACCGCCGAGCGGTTGTGGAAGGCGAGACTCGCGAAGCTGGGCAGGCGCGGCGACTTGGTGAGCGTCTGCGTGTAGTCGGAGATGGCGCGCGTCACGGGGTCGCGCACCACCACGATGAGCCGCGTGTGGGGCGACATGGCGCGGATGAGCTCCGGCGCCTCGGCCGTCACGTAGTAGCTGGGGGTCTTCTCCATCGTGATCTGGCCCTCCAGCGTGCGCGGCATCAGGCTCCTTGAAACGTCACCGAGACAACAGCGCGGGGAGCGCGTCACACACCAAAAGGCAAAGGCAAAAGATTCCAGGCCCCCTTATAGCCTTAACTGATTGGTTGGGGTAAGTGCTGTTAGCGAGCAACTTTGAAGACCGGTAGGCCAGCCCCACGTCCGAACGCCTTTGTCTCCCGAGTGGCGATGTTCACACATCGCACCAGGTGCTCGTTTTAGGGCTGAGTCAACCTAAGAGAAGCCCTGGACCGGTTCAGATAATCGACATTGGGGTTGGCCGTGAGCGGGAATCGAACTCGGGCGCTGGGTTCTTATCGAAGCGCGCTAACCGCTGCACCACCGTTCCCCACGCATCACACACCACACGAGACATTTTTAAAGTTTGCGTGTCTCTCTCTCCCCGTGGGCGCGTGGATACTTTTTTCCCTCCGCTTTTTTTCCCCTCCACATTTTAGAAACATGAATTTAAATCACAGCACCATTGGAACCTCATTTACCAATAGAAAAAATATGATAATTGTTTTTTTACCCTTTTATCTGGCAACAAAACTGACACCTTTTTTTTACAAGGAGTCATGTTTGCATAGACCACAATACCTGCAGTCATAATGCAGGTATTGTGGTGTATGCAAACATGACTCCTTGTAAAAAAAAGGTGTCAGTTTTGTTGCCAGATAAAAGGGTAAAAAAACAATTATCATATTTTTTCTATTGGTAAATGAGGTTCCAATGGTGCTGTGATACCTGCAGTCATAATGCAGGTATTGTGGTGTATGCAAACATGACTCCTTGTAAAAAAAAGGTGTCAGTTTTGTTGCCAGATAAAAGGGTAAAAAAACAATTATCATATCTTAAATCACAGCATTTCGATGATTTTGCTTGCTAAACATTTGCACGTAATGAGCCACTTTGTTGAGCCATCATTTGTGGCCAGGTCGCTTCTGAAAAATAAGTTAATACCTCAGTGGGCTCTACCTGGTAAGATTACAAATATAAAGTTTAGTTTAAATTGTGTATATTTTTTTTTAAGTAATTATTTTACCTTTCCTATACTCCTATCGTGGTTGTGTAACGTTTGTTTGTTGCCACGTTCTGACCCGCCCCTACTGGACATCTGTGGGGGGAAAAGCTTTACAGCTCATCAGATTGCTCCACTGTAAATACATATTCTGATTCTGACACACAAAGATCCCCCGTGTAGTCTTAGCACACTGTTGGGGCAAGTGCTGTTAGCGAGCACCTATGAAGGCCGGAACGGCACACGAGGAGCTGGGTGGCCAGCGGCACTCTCAGACACATTCAATTTCCCTCTCTGGTGACGATGTTTACACACACACAAAGACCGCACCAAGTACTCATTTGAGGCTGAGTCGACCGAGCGGGGAGAGGCCCAGGCACGATTCAAATAACCGTCAGCGGTGTTGGTGGTCGTGAACGGACAATCGAACTCGGGTGGGCGGGTTCGTAGCGCAGTGAGGCTAACCGCTGCGCCACCGCTCCCCCCTCCCTCCCACACTCTCGCACAGACACGCGCACGCTGTTCTGTTCACGGTGGGATCCGAGCCATGAGTTGGATCACAACGACTGCCTGGGGCGCTGCGTGCAGTGCGCAGTGGATGCATTTTTTTTCCACCACGGGTGGGTGGGAGGAGGCAGCGAGGACTGGAGTTGAGAATCCCCGGTCCCGAAGAGATTCGAAGAGAAGGTGTAGCAGGAAGGTGGTGAGATGTTAACTCTCTCGCCAGGTATACAGGAGGTCGTGGGTTCGAGTCCGACCCTGACGCCTGCTGCTGCTGTATATTTGGAATTTGCATCTCCTTCTCTCCACGCGTGGTCGTGTGAATTTTTCTCCGGGTCCTCCGGGTTTTCCCTCCACATTTAGAATCAACACGCGTTTAGAGTATTTGGCTGCTATACATTTCCACGTGATAAGCCACTTCGCTATCTTTTGTGGCCAGGTCGCTTCTGAAAAAGAGCTGTATATAGCTCAGTGGGCCTTGCCCGGTAAAGTAAATACAAACTTTAAGTAGTTTAGTTCAGCTCCCTGACCAATCTGCTTTCATCCCTCGGGCATTTAACTCTGAAGCGCGCAGCATACACACACCCGATTCACCAATTTAAGAGCCGAATGGCTCACAGGGCTATACCAAATAAATGAAAAGAAACAAGTGCTCAGGCAAACCCTCTGGTCTCTTTTGAATGTTCAGGCCATCTGAATAGATCTTCGTCTGTTCCGTCGTGTCTCCTGTCCAACCTCTGTGGTCTTTACCCAAAATATTATGTAAAGGCCACCGCTTCTAGTGCTGGCGTTGCCAAAATCTTGCAGAGTGCATTGCGTTGCCGCAAAGCATCTCGGGTAATCGTCCACGATTTGCTTCCAATAGATAACCTCCTCGCGGTGCATCCTGGTAACTTCTGGAACGTTATTCTCCAGAAGGCCAAATCGATTAACCACTCCTGAACCGACCATCTGAATGGTTATTGTCTGAATACGAAAAAAAAGAATAACAAGCCAGAGCAAGGCGACTGTGGCTATACAATGCAAACTATGGACCGAATAGCTAACCCATAGAGGCACGGAGATATACAAACAGACTCAGAGAGACGAGCGGAGATATATAGAGACTGAAAAATAATACTTAAAGAGTCGCCCAGACGCAGAGACAAATAGGGATGCATTAGAGACTTTTCGCAGGAGTGCAATTGTGGCCATACAATGGAAACGATGGGCCGCATAGTAAACTCATGGATACACGTATAAATACATCGATTACACTGGTCAACAAAAAAAACATTTTTTTTCTGGCCTGGACTTTTGCAGCTGTTTCAGACTAATTTCAGGGTGCTTATTCCAAATCTGACCGGAGCTAGCCGGCAGGGACCCGGACTCAGAGCAGGACCCCTAACCCCTGGGACTTGTGTACCCTGCTGTGTAGTATTGTAACAGCTCTAATAAACCCTGGCGAAAGCCTTTCACTTATCTCCGTCTCCGAGTGCGTCCGTGGGAACTTCTCTACACCAGCGTGGACGGCACCCTCGTGGTGTTCACCTTCTGAAGCGCTCGCTCGTCACCGTGGCGTGCGCGATGACACCACAACCACCACGTGACTTTTCTTTTGTATTGCGCGCGGTGCTTTCAGCGCCACAGCGCGTCGATTTGTAGCGTTTAGTGTCATTTGTGTTGCTGGTGGCTTTGTGTATTTCATATTGAAATCGCCTCCAGTGCTTTTGCTGCTGGCGGCAATAAACGTTGTTTAAAGTCAAGTCTCTCTGCTGCTGCAGCCCTCTCGTCGTGGCGAGCAGCAGCAGCAGCAGGAGACCTCAACATTGCCATTTAGTTTCACACGTAGTAGGCTTTGGTGGCCAAATATTATCCACAATAAAGGTTTGTTTTTGGGGGGTGGGGGGGGGGTTGGATCGCGTCGAGAGCACCTGCACCAGGTTGCCCGCTATGCGCAAGAACGGAAGAGAGCGTCTGAATATTCAGGTAGTCCGCCTGAATGTTTCAGGCAGCGTCAGCATCATCGTTATCAGGCATGGTCAGTCCACCGCTGAGTGAGATGCTCTCCCAAGCCGCCCGCCTGCCACCTGCCACCGGCTCTACATTCTGGCAAAAAAAAGGTTCAATAGATAGAACTGCTCAACCCGAGCTATCAATGCTCTCATACTTGCATTGTCTTTGTGCAGTTAACCTTTTGGCGTTCTCTGGTACAAGGCCGGCGAGACGAGGCCATGAAGAAGGATGTCTCTGGTGGATGCCAATGAAGTTTCAAAAGTCACGTAGGTATAAAAAATAGAAATAACATTTTAGTTTATTTTTTTTTATTACATTTTTCATACCTACGTGACTTTACCGAAAGAACCAAAGAGTATGGATGCCTGAAGTCACGAAAGCTTCAAATCAAGATTGAAGTTTCAAAAGGCAATGCACACATTATGAGCGCATGTTTGTTGCCATGTGTTCTTGGCACGAGTGCGTGTGGTTAATGCAGACTCGGTGCCGTGCAAAAGGTATCCATGTGGTGTTTAAAAAGATTGAAGTCTCCTGGTTTTTTTTTTATTGCCAGAAAGGGTAAGACCTCTTCTTATTGTTTCATGATCCTGCGGCGGCTTTTGGCTCAGCCATCGAACAAAGACGGTCGCCGCATCGCGCGCTTTCAGATGTGGATTCTGCGGCCGTCTGGAACGCTCTGTTAAACCATCCAGGTTGCAAACTCGTTACTTTAGAACCGCTTTCTGTCTCTAGTTTGTTGTCCCCCCCCCGCACCTCCGATTAGCACGGTTGGCAACGTACGGTGCGAAAGAAGCTCAACATGCATACGTAGATCAACACACACGAACTAAATTCCATCGCTCCATCTCCCTTCCCGTGGACGTCCCTCCGTTTAATTTCGTTCCATTCCGTTCGGTTCTAATCAGGCACCAACATTACCTTCAACGTTTGACACGGTCCTGAACAGTCTAACGTATTTAAATAAAACATAAAGCGAAGACATGTACGTCACTATTACACTGTGGCCTTACAATTATATATATTCATTTGGTGACGTTTCGGGCAATGGCCCCGTCTCATTGCACAATGGATGCCAGTGTTATTGATGATGATGATGATGAATAGTTTTGTATGTGTTGCAGAAGGAAGGGCCCATTGAGATGTGAGGTCAGCTCTTTACGTCATCTGCGACGGTGCAGATGTCGGGGCAGTTACAGGTCTGACTATTACAGACTTGGTTACATCGGTCACGGTACAAACAGCGAGTATCAGGAGTTGACGCCTCTACTTACGAACATTCAACTTACGAACTTTCAGAGATACGAACAAACCGTTTGTCCAGCTGCCTGTTTGGATTCGTAAGTTCAACCGCCGCGCAATAGATGGCGGTGGTGGCATCTACATCTGCAGAGCATGAAGACCCAGTGGCATCTGCAGGAGATTATATAACTTTTAAAGCCATTCCCCGTGTTTAGTGTACATTCCGTACAACATGTTTGGAATCGACAGGAGTA